AGTGTGTATAAATGCCCATGTTCAGTTCTAACAGCAGTTAATGACTGAACTAGAACCAGTCAGTTGCTGGCTAAATACACCTCAAACTTAGTGGCCTAATAGCAAGAAAAAATTTCTGACCACAACACATGTAAACATACCTTGATTGTCCTTCTAGCTGCTGTTTGCAAATTGCTGCAAGCTGAGCCATTTTACTTGGGAAAGTTGAAGAATTTTGATCACAGCCTGCTTTGGGGAGGGGGAAAAAAAATAACTAATTAAATAAGCTTCAAGTGAAAGCTGGATTTCCTTTTAAAGATTTCATCCATATTTATGTAGTGTGAATGCTTTAGTAATGAGAAACCAAGCCTTTCACCACCATGTTACAGCATACCTGATGTAAGTTTAATCAAAACAACTGCTATACTTCCAATTCAGCCAAGGACAAAGGACATGTGGGGGCAGAGAAAATGCTTCAAGGACATCTTCAAGGCAAACATTAAGTGTGGCACTGACATCACAAATTAGAAAAAACTAGCCAGGGACAGGGCTACATGGTGATGCCTCATGAAAGAAGGTATACCTTACTTTGAGGAAAACCATCTTGCCCTGGAGGCAGACAAACAACAGAAACAGAAGGAAAGGAAACAAAAGCAAACAAGATCGAGAAGTCTGCGGTTCGACCCTCCCTTTAACCACCACCTGTGGCATCTGCCAGAGAGTCTGCAGCTCTAGGATTGGCCTTCTTAGTCATCTACAGACACATCTACAACCCTTTACTTGACCCACGGGAGTGATCATCCTTGACTGTGAGGGATTGCCACTGCTGATCATTCAACTGTAACCCAGATTGGTTGTCAACTGGCCAATGACTTAAGTCACTGGGAGCCAACCTTTTTAGCATGCAAAAATCTAGAACTCTGGTTTCAGAGATGATACCTTTTATTAGACCAACCTTTTTAGCAGCCAAGCCACAAATTAGCCCCACACTCTCCAAGTACCATGCCAATCCTCTTCCCCATCTGCTGTTCTGCTTTCTGTCCCATCTGCCACAGTACTGCTCGTCTCTTCCCTGAACTGTAGCGTGTGGTATGTACTGCCAGTTGGCCATTCTAGCAGAAGTCGCATAAGGGGTGGTAGGAGCCCCAGCTCATTTACTTCCAAAGTGCATACACTAATTGGCACTTTTTCCTGATAGTTTGAGAGAACATGGAATTGCACATAGAAAAATAAACGTTCTTTCAACCTTAAAGATGTTCCAAAAGAACCCTGAGAAGTGTGGAAAATAGAAGTGCATACACAAAGAACAGACAGAAATCCTGATCAACAGGGATCCTATCCTAGTTCAGATACAAAAATTGCAAATTCTGATTAAAGCCCCCAAATTAAAATAAAAAGCCACTATATTTATATCTCAATTGAACACAATGTTTTATTGATATATTTATAATTTTAAAGCAATGTGGAAGCCTACCAACACCTTAATTGCTATAATAAAATATATTCTAAATACCTGTAAGTTTTGGCATTTGATCTTGGGTTCTTTTTATCATGGAAAATCAGAGCTCCACCTACCCCCTGAAATCATAGAACACAGGTCCAGGCTCCTTACTCTCAAACCACAGCCCCCACTAGCCCTTCTGCTGCCTCTCACTCCCCACCCACAGGCCCCTCGCCCTGCACCCATAGCCTACTCTCCACCCTGCTGGAGGGGATCCCCAGATGCCAGGGCTACAGGTCTGCAGCCCCCTGCCTCCTGCAGCAGCACCTGAGCCCTGGCTGCTGCCTTGTGAGACAGCAACTGCTGTAGTGGAGCAGAGTGCAGAGCCAGCTCCCCTGGCGGGTAGCACAGCCAGAGCAGAGCCCGGGGGGGGGGGTCTGGGCTGCCCACTGCAGGCTCAGGGTACTTGTGTCCCTCAGGTCTGTGCATGGGGCATGGGCTCCCTGCCCTGCTGTACTCCCTGGGGTCCCACCTGTCAGGCTGCAGAGGCGCCAGCACAGCAGGGCAGAGTGGGGCCAGGCAGGGAAGCTTTTTGTCACTGTGAGACATGTGCCACCCTGGCAATGTGCTCCTTGCCTGCCCTGCAGCAGCAAGGGGCACAACCCTGTGCCACTACCCAGTATGCAGGGGACATCTTGCCAGGGTGATGCAGGGCTCACAGCAGCAAGGAGCTTACCCCCAGCCCCACTCTGCCCTGCTGTACTGCGTCCCATCCATTGGGCTATGAAGGCCCTGGGGGGAGGCAGCAGGGTGGGGGAGCCTCAGCTTGCACCTGCCTCATGCACACATCTGGGAGGCATAGAACCTCCCCTGGGAGTGTGCGCAGAGGCAGGGATCTAGCCCCACCTCCTGGAAAACCTGCCTGCAACACCATCCTGCTCCCTGTTAGGGCCCTGTGGCTGTGCATTGTGGCCCTGGGCCTCAAGCTCCACTCACTGCCTGGCTGGGCAGCATCTCCAGGCCCAGCAACAGCCCCACCCAACAACCCTCCCTCCCTTTGTGGGCCTCAATCCCCCCTCTCGCCCTTCAGACTTACCTGCGGGAGCTGCTTTCCAGGCTGCCTAGTGGCCATGTGCATATATACGCACATGTCACCCCCAGCCTGACCACCCTCTTCCCGCTCCCCCCAGCCCCTTGCAGGCTGGAACTCTGCAACTCTTCGCAAAAGTGCAAAATCCATGTTTCTCTCTATTAAAATGAGGAATCTGTGTGTTTCTCTGTTTTTCCATGGGAAACAGAAAACCCAGATCCCTTCTGATCAACAGAAACCTGAACGCTGTTAAATGCAGTGCCACAAAAAAGGTGGAGTGAAAGCACATGAAAATAAATCATTCTTTTTTCAAAACAATGGAATACTTAGAAGCTCTGTAACAAGGTACAGTTATAAACAATGAACCAAATTCAGGTCAGATATAAAGGACTGTGTCTATATTGCTGTACCTGCTCACATCAAGTCCAAGGAGGGAAGGCTTCTTTAATTTTGTTAGAGGTTAGCCTTTGAAGATAAAACTACTTCTACACAGACCTCAGATTTAAAGCACTATCTGTATAGAATGGCATATTCTTAAAAAAAAAAAAAAAAATGGATACAGCATTTACTTTTAAAATACATACTTGTACTTGTTTTAACAGGGCTGGTAGGAGCAGAATGGATCCTCCGGTCACTTTCTATACTCTTGACTAGCTTCATTAGAGATGGGTGGCGAGTGAAGATCTGCTTGCCTCTTGCTGGGAAGAGATTTTTTGAACACTGTTCTTTAGAAGGTTTAGGTTCTAAAGAATGAGATGGGATGAAGGCAGAAACAGTAGATATAGGTTTTGTACCTAAAATGCAACATAAAAAGAAAAAAAAACCTCAAACTGTTATTTTCATATATTTAGTTAGATATTTATAGATGTTATTTGACAAACTGTCAAAGACATCCTTTTACATAGAAAATTAAGCTTTTTCCAGGAGAGAAAAAGAATAAATTCAAGCCAAAAAAAGAGAAGGAAAGAAGATAGTACACCCACCCTGAATATCTGATAAAACCTCTGGTCCTGTCCATTTGAATGCAGGTTTTCTGCCTCGCTCCTCTGTAATGTGAACTTTCTTGATAAGTTCCAGGCTACTGAGAACATTAGCTATATCGTATAGTCTCCTAATTTTGGCTGAAATAGAAAAAATACATACAGATGCCATGCAGAATTTCTGGTTCATTAAAGTACACTTGCAATCAGGCTACAGATGCTACCTACTCCCCACAAGCCTTCTCCTTCATTACCACATATAATCAAAAGTTGCAACTAAGGTTATTAGATCCACAGTGAGGTTACTTTTTTCAGTTCACTGGAGGAATTTGGGATCCTTTAGTCCCTGGAAGAGATATTAATGCTTTGAGGCTACGTATCTTTGCACAGAATATTTTCATTATCCAAAATAAAGGAACACAAACTTAAGTTCAAAGAAATACTGATTGCAAGAATCCACTTGCAACTTACACACAGTCGCAGAATTTCCCATAATCTACACAAAGGAACATCTTGAATAAAATACATGAAAGTACCTTAAGAGCCCTGAGATGCTGCAAGCCCACTACCCCATCAAAATGCTGCAGCACTGCTCAATTACTCCCCAGAGCCAGGAAGTCACAGTTTCACTCTGAGCCCACTTTATCTAGATTTATCCTCTACCTCTAAATCTGGCTTTCACCAACAGTGAAGTCAGGAAACCCCATGTCATATATGCAAACAATGCATAGATATCATGTTTCCTTTCACAAACCCCTCATATCATGTGCTCTGATTACTGCTTTAAGAACACCTCCAATCTTATCACATTATCCTTTCTATAAAATGTATACTAGTTTAAAGCAATTCAGCTAGTCTTCCTCCAATACTCCTCTCATAAGATACATTGTCCATTCCTTGTACACTTGTTCAGGTTATATTAATCTTTTTTTAAAAGATACAGATGATCATAACTGTTCTTAACATTTTAAATGGGGGGTGTCTTACCAATACCTTGCACTAATGGTACTAAGACCTTCCATGTCTTCACTACATATCTTCACTTGTCTTCAATATCACATATAATATTCACATATCTTCCATGTCTTCACTTTACATAGCCTAAAATTGTATTAGGCTTTTCCGTGGTAACACAGAATCATAGAAAAGTAGGGCTGGAAGAAACCTCCATAGGTCATCTAAGCCCAACACTGTGCCTGAGGCAGGATCACCCCTATCCAAACCATCCTATACAAAACTGTCTAATCTATTAGCAAAGCTACAGTTGACCCTGGCACAGCCACAAGACATACCACCTTAACCTGCCACAGGTAAAACAGCCAATATCCTGCTGCTATGAGGTTTGTTAAAATATGCTTGAGAAATCCAAAGAAGAGACCCATGCCCACATACCCTGCCCCCTTTCCTCCCCACCTGCAGAGGAAGGCAATCCCCTCCACCCCTCCTATCTGTACCAATTTGACCATGGGGTAAGATTCCTTTCTGACCCAAATATGGCAATTGGTCTGACCCTGAGCAGACCAGGAACTTCCAGGTTTAGGTCCCATCAGAAGCATTGCACAACTCAAGTCAAAATCCTCAGCCTTGGATGCATCCAACACCCAATGCTTCTGAAGAAGGTGGGGGAGAAAAGACAAATGTCCATCCATCCCAACATGTAGCATGGGGTGGAGGGAGGAGAGAGTTTCCTTTACAGCTCCGTGTGGCAACCAGCAAAGCCCAGAAGCATAGGAAAAAACCCCATAGTCGAGCATAGGCACAGCTATGCCTAGATCATCCTTATCTAATGCCTGTCCAACTTCTTGAACATCTCCAGTGATGAAGGGTCCACAACTTCTCTAGCCTGTCTATTCCACTGCCTTATTTTTTTTTTTTAAACAGTGAAGACATTTTTCCAATTTAAATCTACTTTGCTGCAGCTTCAAGCAACTGGTCCACACCTTAGTTTCTGTAGCAAGGGAGAAAAGGTGTCCTCCCTCTTCTTTAAGGCAGCTCTTCAAGTATTTGAAGACCGCTATCACATTCCCTCTTTAAGCATATTTTCCACAATCCGAACGTGCCTATTTCCTTCAACGTCTCCTGGTCCGATTTGCCTTTCAACCCTTTATCATTTTTCTCACCTGCTTCTCTCCATGTCCTTTTTGAAATGTGGAGTCTAACTGCACACAGTACTCTAGATGAGGCCTAACCGTTACCAAATAGGGGTATTATTCACCACCTGTCATGCACCTAAAACTTCTTTTAATGCATCCCAAAGCTACATCACATTGCAGACTTATACTGAGTCTATTATCTACCACTACTCCTATCCAGCCACGGTGTCACCCATTTTGTATTTGAATTTTTGATTAGTCTTCCTGAAGTGTACCACCTTGCATCTCTTAGTATTGAACTTTTCTGTTAGCTCCAGCCCAGTATTCCAATCCACCAAGATCCTTCTGAACTACACTTTTGTCCTCCAACATGTTCACAGTCCTTCCCAGTTTAGGGCAAATCTGAAGATGACAAGACCTCTGTTTCACCAAACAAATCATAACACACCACCCCCAAAAATACACACACACACACACACACACACGAGCACTGGGCTTTAGACTCCACTTAGTCTCCCGCCATTCTGATATAAATAGATCTGTAACTACCCTTTGTTTGCAGCTATTACACATGGTCATCCTACAATCAACCGTTACTCTCAGGTACCTCCCTTCCTCTGTTGCCTCCAGTATGAGCTCAAAGCATCAGATACCTACACATTTTTCTTTTTTGTAAGAAAAGAAATTAAAGAGCTGGTCGTAACTACTTGAGTGGGGACAGTGAATGGGGAAGTGAAAAGAAGAAAGACTTGACAGTTGAAACACTAAACTCCGCTTCTTCCCACACAGCTAACTAACTACTGCCTGTACTCTAGAAATTGTCTTTAAAAAAATTTCCAAGTAGCAGAACTACATAGTCAAAATATAAATTTGGCAGATGTACTGACACTCATATCTTCATACAAGTACCTTTTTTTTTTTATTTTATTTCTTAGCCAATTTGTCAAAGATACAAATCACTAATAAGTAGCTTGGTAATACTGCTTCAGGGTTAGCAAAAAAGGGTTTACTAGTGTCTTTCTTCTTTTTCGTTGCTTTTCCTACCACCAAATCCAAGAGCAAAAAAATCTGTTACAGCTCTAGTTAGAGCCTACATAGCTTAATTAGAAATATATTATAAGGAGGCAGAAATCCTACTGTTTCACAATGCATAAGCTTGTATATAAGATTACAGCTTACTAAAAATCACTAGAAAACAACTGTTATCAATTGGAAATACAATTAAATATATATGTTAGGTAAGGTTTGTCTCAAATGCAGACCAAGTCTAAGTAGCCACAGGAGCATTTTACTTACTTTTAAACTTGCTTTTATCTAAATCTTCCACATGGTCTTCTCCAATCAAAATTTTAGCTGCAACTTCAAGGCTCACTATTTGAGGAGTTGATACAAGAAAGAGCATCACAAATTTCTGACTCATTACTCTTAAAGACTTGTCTTTTCTGCTGTTTACTGAAGCTATGCAAAGAAGGGAAAGGATTGAAATGAATCAAGTGGCATATCATTTGTAACAGCAGCGTTAAAAATAAGTAATTTAAATATTTATCAACAGGAATTTTAGAATTCTTCATTCAAACAGTTGACACTTCCACATATAAAATCTGGTGACCTTCAGATTTTAGGATTTAAAAAGAAATATTCCTGCCTTGTGAGTGGCTATTTGTGATTAACCATATTTCTACTTCTAACTTTAATTTAATTTAAAAAAGCAAGAAAAAAAGCACAAAGAAAAAAGCATTACCAGCACGAAATTCCATCCCTGGAAGTTCAATAAAACACATTTCTGAATGCTCATTTATGCCAATCGTTTTTGTTGCTGTCTCCTCATTTTTCTCACCATCCAATTCAAACTCATTTTCATATTCTCTCTTCTTGATCAGCTGAATAAGTTGCATGTATTTGTTCTCTTCACCAACTTTTTTCAAAGTCTGCAGGGTTTTGTTGAGATTATGACGGCCATGCCAAGCATACCTGTTTTTGGCTAGACGGCTCACCATATGCAGACTCTCTAACACATTCACAATATCATATATGCGTCTCCGTTCAACAGCTGCAAGAAGAGAATATAAAGGAATCTTAATATTATGATAATCAAATTTATTATTGACTTCTTCAAAGTATAATTTATCTAGAAAGTTGATTTAAAATGTGATGTTCCTTATCTGTGCTCCATTAAAAAAGAAATTAAAGAACTATACTTCATTCTTCAAAATAAAACTTTTTTTTTTTCCCATTCTGCCATAATTTTTCAGTGCTACCAGAAGAAAAACTAAACCTATGTAACAGACTAGAAGATAGTGTGCTCTTCCACAGCTCCAAGGATTCTGTAGCATCCATAGAAATGAAAACTTCCTTTTGTTTGAGTCCTGCCTGCTTTCTGAACTGACAAACACAACACAGCAAACATGTTTGACTGACAATCCACTTTAGAAAACGCAAGTCCTTAAAGAAATTCATCAACATTTATTTAGACCGACTCATTGAACATTCATGAAAAAGCATCACAAAGTGGTCATTCGTTTTAAGGTCTTTTCTATAAGTCATCTCTTTTTTTTAAACTTCTGACCCCTTGCCTTGGCATACAGCAGCTATTCTCATCCAAAGTGCTGGGGGTACCCTGAAGTGCCAGAACAAACTTTAAAGGGTGTGCAGGGAGTTTGAGGAAATAAGCAGATAAGTACAGGTTCAGGTTCTTCCTGTATGGCTGCTCCTTCTCCCACTACCTGGTCCCTCAGCAAGGAATCAAACACTGTAATAAATAAGTTAGCTTTTCAAACAGGGTGCCATTCAATTCATAGGTTATGTAGGGTGCCTTCAGTCTAAAAAGGCTGAGAACCACTGCTATTGAGATAATGCACAGAAAGATCTGAAAATTGGTATAAAACAATTAAATACAATGTAGTTTTTAGTAAAGTGCAATTTTTCCTCTGAAAGACCATCTGCTGATACAAAAACAGCATAAATTTACATTTCATTAACTTGGACAGACACAGAAACCTTCTTCTTTCTAGGCCTTAGAATAACATCACTTATCCCTAGTGATCATAACTTAAAATTTCAACTTTGGATGAAGAACTTAAGTAAAATATGATACCAACAAGGGCAATCATATTGATATTATCTGGATTTCCTGCAAGTGGCACCTTGTTTTTATGTTACGGTTGGACAGGATATAAATTGCAGATGCTACTTGGAAAATACTACTTTTACAGATCCAACCCCTTAATATGCCAATAATTTTCAGGTCCAAGGCCAGCATTCAGTTTTATGCAATATCTATAATAATTCATATTTCATACACACACTTCGAGATCCTTTTTCCTAAAAAGAAAAAAAAAAATTGAAAATGGAGAACAATTTCTGCTAAGTAAACAGATTTTCATTTCAAACTTTGAAAAAAAGTTACTATAAAACTAAGCATATAACATATTAATAATGGTGAAATACTGAGTAACTTCCCATTTTATAAAAGGTATTCAACTTTAGCTTAAAATTAGTCAGGATATTTTTATTTAATAAAATAAGGTTAAAAAAAAAAAAAAAAAGAGTACACTAAACAGCATATGGTACCCCTTTACAGAATATTCAGAGGAATAAGTCCTTACATATTTCCTATTCATAGATACTGTAGTAGATGCACAAACTTACTAAGTTCTTCTGCTACTTCATCAAGGCAAATATAATTACTCTCTCCAGTGATGGGGTAATCAGGATAGCGAGCTAAGAATTTATGACATAATAATCCTAGACTTTTTTCTTTACGGCTTGGCTGAGATTTCTCATATTCATCTCCTGATAAATGCTCCTGCATCAAAACAAGAAATAAGAATTTGCATATTTTAAACAAAAGTTTGATAGTTTTACAGCTGGCAACAAAAACTAAGAACTAATACTACAGGCCTTTTCCTTAACAGCCAGAGCTGCAAAAGGCTTCAGAACTTCTGGCTAAAAGAAATAAGATGGCATTTCAAAAGTACCTAGTCCATAATTAAATTAAAGAAGGAAGTTGAATTACATTAAATGTCAACTTGCACAGTTTGTTGCATGCACTCAATATTGAAAACTATCTAGTGAAAAAAAACCCAACCAAATAAAATGCTAAATAACTAAATAAGATATATATTTACAACATACCTGTAAACAATGGTTTGCTTCTAGGATTTCACTTCTGCTATCTTGCAATCCCTTTTTCTGTTCCCTATTTCTAATCTCAGGACTAGCCGCACTGATCAGTATTTTAAGATTAGTAGTGGGTGTCCATGGGTCTCCAAGAGGGATTTCCTTGGGTTTTGGGGGTGTTGTCAAAGGTCCAGAGTTAGACTGGATCTCTGCTAATACTGAATGTGAGGTAGCTGATTGTTTCAGGGGAGTTTTCAATGTACTTTTACATGGCTCAGAAGAGCAGTTTTCCTGCAGCAAGAAAAAGGGAAACAATTACACTCCAAGACTTTTGGAGGCAATATCATACATAAGACTTCAGTATAAGACTTATTTCGGTGTTGAAATAAAGATTAGTTTATTTTGGACTAAATTGTGCAGCCTTACAAATAAAGGCTTCCATTAAATCAACAATGGTTTACAGTGTTCAATGGTACCTACCATTTAGCTCCTAAGAAAATATAAGTCTGAGTGTTCACCCAACCTAAAAAGGCTCGTTCATCCATCTTCTGAAAAACAATACCAAGGGTTGCTAGATGAAGTGGTCAAGCATACTGTTTCTGAAAAATGTCTAGCTCTCCTGAAAAGTTGCCAGATACAGTGTCTGGTTTGCTTTGAGATGAGATGATAAGTTTGGGTAAAGTGACTGAGTAACGAAAAAAGATTAAAGAAAATAAAAGCCCATGAATTACTGACAAAGGGACTTGTCTTGCTTGTGCTAATAACAGGCCATATTATGGCAAACCATATTTTCTGGGGCAGAAGAGGCTCTTGAACATAAGACGAAATTTAAAAAAACCCAAAAAACAGAATTCTGGAAAAAATGTTTTTAGCATCCGTTCGACTGGACACCAATAAAACATAGTTATACCCAATTTGTAGACAATGGAATGACCTGCATCAAGCAAAAACGAAGAACTCAAATACGAGCTCCAACTTCTAGAGGAATATTCTCTGTATTAATGAATCTTACTTAACATTTTAAGACATGTATTTGTGCATTTTGTGTAGCTGCTAGAATATGGTAGGCATGATGGAAAACCTTTGCCTCTACATCTTAAGCTGCACACTCTCTTATCTGTGTATTTGCCACATCCAAGATAACAGGGCTTCAGTGCTGACTGGAGATTTCATAACTACCACAACAGACCTATACACCCCTTTGCTCAGATATCTGCATAACAAGAATAAAGTAATTCATGTATACATTTTACAAGTCACAGGTATGTTGCACAGATTAAGACATAATGGCCAGGGTAGATTTCCCCCTTACAAACCATATAAAGTTGTTATACACAGACAGATATAGCACAAGCTTTGGTGGGCTAGAGCTCACTTTATCTGCTCTAGCCTACAAAAGCTGAGTTTGTAATGGATTGTCGTGTTGGGGTATTTCTTAGATGTAGTTAACTGTGTTAGTCTGCAGTCAGGTAGAAGGCAGGGTAGATTTGCAACTCACAGCCTAATTAAAGTGGGTGTATCTAAACAGAGACACACACTACAGACAGACATGTCTAAACTAAGACTGGCAAACCAGTCAGTCGCCCAATTAATTGGCTGCCTTGCCAACCCTAGTTTAGACATGTCTGTCTGTCAGACTCGTTAATTGACTGCGTATTTTTTAACCCGTCAAAGATTATAGCAATTTTACAAAAAAACCCAATAACCCTACTCTTTTTGTAGTTTTCTCCACAGAAATATACATAATTTTAAATTGTTTCTGACACATTCCTTAATGGAAAATACGTGCTTTTTCTCTGTGTATTATTTGGACCTTTTGGACCTAATAAAAGATATCACATTTACCCAAAGAAATGTGTCTGCCAATTGAATACCTGGTGCTTCTGGTTGGTTAAGAGTGATGGTCCAGGAACTATGCCAAGGGGCCAGGCTTTCCCAGCAGGCCCCTTTTATAGGAGCAGTTGGCGATTTTTTTTTTTTCTTTTAAATACGATTTTGACCTATGTTTGACCAATCAATTGACTGAACTTTATTTAACTGGTCAAATACCTAACGCTAGTACAGGCGTGTAGGCTGTACACTAGTACACACGCTTTAGATAGACAGGTAGAAACAGATCTTACACACACACTTTAGACAGAAATCACTAAATACACACATACACACACACACACACACACACACACACGTGCTTCGCGTAGGCACAAGGTGCCAAATCTCCCCCACCCGCTCCTTGATTTCACCATCCAGACTAACCAGGCCAACTACACCTAAGAAAAAAAATAAGGCAGCCCGCCACGGCGCTGGAGCGGGCGAAGGGAGCTCTTGCTCTCAACAGCTTGTGCAAGGTGCATCTGTTTGAAGCCAGAGGCACCAGTCTCACCTGCCCAGCACCCCTTCCCCAAGGCAACACAACCCAGCTCCCTTCCTCTACAGCAGCGGTTTTCCATAGAAAATGAGGGTTGGAAGGGACCTCAGGAGGTCATCTAGTCCAACCCCCTGCTCAAAGCAGGACCAGCCCCAACTAGCTCATCCTAGCCAGGTCTTTGTCTAGTCAAGTCTTAAAAACCTCCAAGGATGGAGAGTCCACCACCTCTCTGGGTGACCTGCTCCAGTGCTTCACCGCCCGCTTCTTGAGAAAATTCTTCCTAATATCCAACCGAAACTTCCCTGGCTGCAACTTGAGACCCCCTGCATCCGCTTCTCCGGAGCCCCCTCACCCACAGGCGCGGGGATTCACACGTCACCCACCACGGGCATCTCGCGCGGACCCCTGCGGCAGCGCCCGGCGGACTACCAACCACTGACCGCAGCAAGTCGGGCCGACCGTACACCCCGCCCCGAGTGTCCCAGGTACCTTCCCCTGGGGACCCGCGTCGCCGCAGCGGTCCATGTCCCTTGCGCGGCGCGAAATGCTCCTTCAGAGCCTGGCGGCGCCGAGCGACATCGTGGCGGGGCCGGATCCTGCGAGGGGGACACGGGGTGAGAACGGGAAGAGTGGCGAGGCGGGCGGGCGGCCCCCGGCTGGAAGGGGTCGGGTCGGGTCCGATCCGGGTAAGGCCCGGCCCCTCCTACTTGCCCGCCGCCCTAACTGCTGCCCCGCCGCTGGCCCCACCCCGCCCCGCCCCGCGCGCCGCCGGGCACCAATCTCCGCG